TCATTATGTCGAATTTCGGAAAAACTAATGGACAGATTTTAACAAAATTTGGTATGAATATACATTTGTAACTAAGAGATGTACTATTCAAAAGTCATTGAGCGCATGAATATCAGTAAAGCTCAGAGCGCAGTGATGTCCAAAATCCACGTTTTTTTACTGAACTGAAAATGAGCCCAATATGTGTTACAATCCCCTCACACAACCACACAGGTTGCATACTGACGTGACGGTATACTGGACAGGAGACAGTTGAAAAGTCCCTATGACAGTCGAAACCACTCCAGCAGAAAGGCTATTTTCAACTCCGGGACGGTTCTCGGAAGGGGATGGTAATATAAAAGTGCGGTGAATATGCTTCCTTTCCAGGTAATCTTCGATAATTTGAGTCCTATGTGGACAAGCGTTGTCGCCCATTAAAAGAAACCCAGGACCAAATGCGTTGCTCAAAATTTGAGCAAAGGTCTCTAGGATTTAACACCTCTACCATTATAATGATAGTTTGCTCTGATGAGGGTGTGATAGCATCGTGTTGTAGGCTTTCTGCAAATGCAGGAACTCCAAGAATCAATGTCCAGGCTAAATCTTGACTCATCTATAAAACGCACGGTGCTTCATTGAAGTCTGGTCCGGAGAGCATGTTGTTTTTCACTATGCTAAATTCGTTCTATTGTATACTGCAGTGAGTAGAACGCACACAGCGGATCCTCTGGCAAAATGCCGTATCTCATGAAGCCTTCGAACAACCGTAGACAGCAAAACTTATTCCAGTGGCAGCGTACAATTCACGTAAAATCTGTGAAGCAGTAGTAACTGTATGTAGCTGCGCTGAAAGTGCCAAATGATAATCTTCATTCATCGCTGTGAATCTTCATCGACTTGAGCAGATATTCTCATAATGGATTATAGTGTATTGAAACTGTTTTCACAAATTGCGGACGACACTGGACGTCACATGGAGCTCTGTAGCCATCTGCGCTTGTGATTGGCCTATCTCCAATCTATGGACAATTCTCCATCTCATTCTGTTATCCATATGTTCGTGGATACTCATATTACCTGACTCTGAATATTTGCATATTTCTTTGGTGGCATGATTAGCACATCTGGTGAAATACTTTTCATCAAATGTAAAAATAGTCATAATTTGCAAATTCTCTTAATTTGCACACGAGTATATATATATATATGTAAGATAAAAAATATGTGAATCAAAATTATAATTTAAACTAACGGTAAACATTAATTCTCCCTCTCTGTTCTAAAAATCGCAATAACTTCTCTGGATTGCGTCATCTCTAGATCATTCTATGGCCTGCGCAGCTCTTATGACGTAATAATTGAGAACTGACACTACTATTGTAAACCAAAACTTTTCTCTTCGCGTGCTTCCATCTTTCATAACTACGCACTTCAGCTTCTGTCTGTGCTGTGCTTGCACGCAATTTCGCTGCGCTGCTTCCTATTGCAATAATATCAATAATGTAAATGTTCTTGAACAATCACGTTTAGGGTGCCTAGTGATCTGTGGACACATAATATCAGTTTGGAAATAAAAATGTAATTAAAATCGCCTCGACTGCTAAGTTTTATTTATACGAAGTCAACACATTAGCTTACGACGCAATCAGAACACTTCCTCTTCAATATCGGATAACTACGCATCAACACTGCTGCGGCTTTTCCTTTACTTGCTTTTATTATGTCATATATATATATATATATATATATATATATACTAATAGTGTTTAGTAAATGTTGTAAACGTCAAAAACTACTAATAGGTTTTAGTAATATATTTTTAAATTGAAATTTAATTTCTTCTCAACCTTCATACTTTTAAAAAGTATTTTGTATCCAAAGGAGCGTTAACTCAGAACGGCTCTTAATCTCGAAACGGCATTTTGGGCTGAACCACTAAAAGTCCTAAATCACATTTCAAATTGTCTCCACCAAATATTATCACCCTGTATTACATTTGAAGAAATCAAATAATGAAGAATCTCCATGAATGCATGTATGCTTCTTGCACTGTTGAAAAACTATGGTACCTAGAGTTATCAAATTTTGAATAACGTAGTCCTCCACCCTAATATGTGCACCTGGCAGATCAAATTTTGAATTTGTGTTATTATCTACTTCATATTTTGTAAAGCGTTAACGAATTTTTGATTAAAAATCTCAACGATTTCAAAGCGAGCACTGGCAATACTATACGGAATAAAACATTTTTATCATCAGCGCGCGAAACTGTCTATCAGGGATTCTAAAGATATGCTGTTTTAAAATATTTTTATCCCAAAGGGACGTTAGCCCAAATGCTCTCGAAAAGTGTGTGTAGTCTTTTTCGAAACGTGTGTGTAAAAGTAAAAAAAAAAGCTCCCCTTTCGGCGTGATATAAATCCTGAAAGCTTTCAGATTTTTTTCAGTTATTTTCAAAATGAATAATATTTACAAAATTCTCTTTCTTATTTTTTTAGTTTAATTTTCAATGCATATTTAAAATTCATTTGTTTAGTTACTACTACCAAACGCAATCCTTGAAGTGCTTTCTTTATCTTTCCCTTTTTCCAACTTCACAGCTGCAACTCAAACCGTCTCTTTGAGACAATTCTCAAGAGATTTTAACTTGAATGACTTTCACTCACGTGACTTTTTAGAGTAGCGTCGATCTTTTTCCTTCATGTTTTGCATTCTATTTTCTTTTAAAATTATTTTTTGAAATGATTAATTTATTTTAGTTGATAAATTCAGTTTTATTTTCTCCAATTTCCAACATATTACGTTGCAGTCACATAACATTCTTTTTAAAACAGTTGCCTTTGATTTATAAAGATTTTTAACAGTTTTTCATTTTCATATGTCTTAAAATTTAATTAATATTTATTACGCATGATGCTTTTAAAATTTATCTAGCACGGTGCTTTCGAATTTTCTCAATGGGAGTACTTTTTCTATATTTCAGCTCCTTGCTTTTCATTTATTTGCGTAAAGATTATTCAAGTTATTTATTAATTTTGCAAATTGATTATAGATTACTTTCGATTTAAGCCATGGTTTTTCTGGTTTCTTGTTCGAGCTTTTCTTTTTTTAAATTTTGGGTCACATCGGAGCAAGTTATAACGTAATGATTATTAAATTCAAAAATGTTAAACATTTACTTTCCTGAAATTTTAAAACACTTCAATTACTTTAATTTTAACTAAATTAATTTTAATTTATTGGCATTTTCTGTAATTTTTTAAATGCATCCATTTTTAAAAATCATATAGATTATAATCCAGAGACGTGGCTCTATTGAAAGATTTTCAGATGCTCTTTGAAAATGACCTAGGAATCATAACCAAGTTACACAATTTTATGCTCTTTATCTTTTATAATCTTTTAAAAGCTATTTTTGTATTTTGAAATATTTTCCTTTTTGGCGAGCAGCCCACCATTCATAATATCATTTTCATTAAATTTCGCAGTATATTACCTGACCAGTTATCTTAATTCAAAATTTCTCAGCTCTTGTTAATCTTGTTTAATCTATATATCTTGTTTAATCTATATATATACTAGCGGAAGTACCCGATGCCAGTTAAATTAGATTGATAGTAATATATCTAACAACAGAGAGAACGATACTGCTGTAATTTTTCTCTAATAGCAATGCAAAAATTACGATTCATACACATGCAGTTTTCAGTCTGATGCGATAATGGAACTCACATAAAAAATTTTGATCGAAAACTAAGCCAATTCTCTCTCATTAGATTAGCAACAATGGCATGCAATTTTTAATGATTTTCGTCTTTTTAATCAAATAGTGGTAAAGGCTCAAGTTCCATCCAATATTTCACTTATATTCAATTTTAGTCGATTAAATGTGTCAAAAATTTATCTAATTGATCCGAAATCAAAAACGCGAAAAAACAAACAAACACTTTAACAGACATTCTTCTTTACATGTATAGTTTTTGTAAAATTTACAAATTTTTAATTAACAAACTGTACGACATGAAAGCGAACAGTAGCAACACTTTTTCACTTAAAGCATTTTTATCTCCAACTCGCGACACCGTTGCCACACGGAAAAATGAGTACGAAAATTAGCGCTTTCAGAGTTTTTAATTAATATTTTGCCTGATTAAAGCCGTACGAAGATGACAATAGCCGAAATGGCTTCCTGCGAATTTTTGGAATCGGGAGTAATATATTTAATGTTTGGCAATGATATTTTTATTTCATCGTAAAACTTATAAATTTTTATTAACAAACTCTAGGATTTGAAAGCGAGGCAGTGGCAACAAATTTCGAAATAAAACAGATTTTCATCTCTAACTTGCGAGACTGTTGCCACTCGGAAAAATGAGGGAGAAAATTATCGTTTTTTTTTTTTCGAGTTTTTAATTAATTAATCTGATTTTAGCTATCGTTTGGGAGGGGGGGGGAAGTGGACGTCAACGTTTTCCAGGACCTAGAAAAGAATTGCAGAAAGTTTGGTGACGATAGCCATAGTACTGCCTGAGTTATTATAGGACAAACATACAGACTTTTTCTTTATATATACTATATAAATAGTTTAAACAAGAGCTAACAACAAACACTAAAGATTTATACAATATAATAGATATTTATTATAGAATATATATTTATATTAAGTATTATTATAAGGTATTTTCTCTCTCCTATCAGCAACCCTTCGTGGTGTAACGGTAGCACACTGGGAGCGTATTCGAGAGGTCCAGGTTCGATTCCCTGCGAAGGCATTGCATATCTTGCACATCCCTTGCTTAAAAAAAAACCTAATGACTTTACAAGATATATTTTCTATCAGACGTATGCCATTTTTTATTGCTTAGGAGAGAATCGCTTCAAGAAGTCACTTTCCTGCGTTTAAATTTAAGAATAAAGGAATAGTTCAAATAAAATAAACATATATGCTGTTAATTTAAAAATGATCTTCATGCCATTATGCCTTAATTGGGATATTAAGCAGTCATTTGTATTCGAACCTGATAATCTTCCTCGGTGAAAGACGTGGATATCTAATAGGATCTCCAAGCCTTGCAAAATAATCTTCCTGTCTCTCCCAGTTACTTTGTCAGCACTTTGGATTGCGTGTTCTGTCCAGTCCGTCCAGTAAATCCGATTTCCATGCAGTGCTAGTCCAAAAGGATGTGGTAAATCCAGGCTTATGAGTACCTAAATAGGATAGAAGATTAATGTAATGGACAGATATTGGACTGCTGTTACGCTTATGTTAGAAAATGCGATACTATAAGGAGCTATACTACTTTTTTTTTATTAACATCTATTACAAAAGCATCGTCCCATAATGAAATGCTTAAAATGGCTATAACTGGACGCCAAATGAAATCATTGAACACTAAAAGATAAAATATTGAAAATTGGCATTAAGAATTAATTAGATCAACAGTACTTTGGGCAATTCCAACTGTATTTCTTTAATTAACTCTTAATACCATTTTTTTTTGCTTTTTTGATGATTTTAATCAAAGATTTATTAATTTATTATTATTTTTATAAAAGACTTTTAATTAACTTTTTATTATTAACTTAACTTTAATTAATTAACTTTTTTGATAAAAGACTTTTATAAAAATAATATTTATGCACTTGTTTTTAGCATTTCATATCATTCGAGTTTCTTCTGCCTTAATTCTGTTCCCCCCCCAGTATTTTATTAGCTGATTATTTCGGATTCACACCTTATTTCACAAGTAATTAATGAAAAAAAGTATATAATTCCATGATATGCTATGTTCAAAACGGGTACATATATAAGCAGGGGCGAATGAGGTTATCGCGAATTCGGGAAATTTGAGGTGCCAATGATTATAGTAGGTCTGCCTTGTCACTAAAGATGCTTGCACTTTATGCAATTTGGCAGTTGTTTGCTAATACGAAAGGCATCATAAAAGTGCTTTAAAATAAAAGGTGCCAGCACTTCGATGGATGCTGCTTCCTCCGAACAATAAATTGATCTTCATAATCTTCTTTCTTCAAGTCATAAACAAACTAACAATGGTGCTAACTTTGTAAGGGTTCTGTCACCTTTATGATAGCACAGCATTGGTAAACAGAGACCCGCTTGTGTAAGAATGATGGAAACTTTACGATGGAGATTTCGGCAAGACACGAACCATCGTAAAAATACGGCACTTTGACGGAAGTTGCTTTCTCGATATTTTAAGCTGAACTTCATAAGGGTGCGGGCAGTCATGAACACTTTAATGACTATTTTGCTGAAATAAGCGCGCGACCATGGACATCTCATCTTCTTGATGAAGGTTTATTATCCATGGTACAAACTGAAGTTCACAAGGACTCATGTCTTGATGAGCAATGGCTAACTTGAAAAAAAGTAACAACACCTTTTTATCAAGGCGCTATCATCTTTTACACGTTAGCCATTTTATCGAGTTGGCCACTGTTCACTTTGATCTTCAAAAGAACGTCTCTGTGTTTTGACTAAGTCTACAGTCTTGACGGTAGGAACTGAAATTACTATGATGGGTGCCAGCAAATTTATTGAAGTGGACGACTATTCACTTAGACCTTCACATGGGCATCCCGGCACCTTAATGAAAGTAGCATTCTTCATGGTAAACTTTGAACTTCATAAAGGTGCCAGGCTCTCCCTTAATAAATTATGACTAACTTGCAAAAGGTGCCGGCATCATCAGCGATTATTCACTTAGATGTTCATGTGAGTTTCTCAGAATCTTGATGAAGGTTGCATTTTTCATGGTATGTACTGAAATTCAAATGGATGTAAGGCGCCTTTGTATCTTAATGCTAAGGCACCTTTATAGTTTAACCAATAATGGTCAACTTGAACAAAGGTGTCGGTACATTTATGCGGACTGGCCGCATCAGTTAGATCCCACCCATCCTGCCTGGGTACAAGATTTATTTCCTTAAATATTGATTTTAGGTATGGATATATTATATATGTATGGACCATAAATATGGACAAGCTTCAGGAAAATTTTGAAATTAAAAATCTGAGTATCAGAGTTCGAAACGGAATTAAATAATTATTATACACGAGAAGAATTCAATCAGAAAAATTGTTTCGGCTTTGAAAAATCTCGTGCCCATCTTGCATCAAACAAACGGCTTTTAAAGCTATCAGCATAAATCGCAGTTGGAGTTTCAATTGATATATTACTTTTAACTGTATAGGAGCGTCATCAGTTGAAACAATTTGCCAATCACCCTATTAGAGCTTTCACAATTTCTGAAAGTTTAGTTTGAGTAACTTTTGAAAAGCCCTATATAATTAATGTAAACAAATTAAGCCTTCCAAACATACATTCATAAATAAATTACAGCTTTACTCACTGATGTTAACAAATTAAATATAATTTATATATATATATATATAAAGTATTTAAATTTAAAACACAGTATTTATCCATATTACACAAAACGGCCTTCCACTCATATATGAGAAAAGCTCAAACAAACCATTCGCAGATAAAAATTCTATGAAAGCCAGTTCTTTAAAGTTGTTCGTTATTTTCTTGCCTGAGTTTAAAGAGGTTAATTTCTAAAAATAAAACAAATTTTAAAATGGTTACTTATGCTATTTAATTCACGATTCATGCTTAGAGGTATAGATACATTAGAAGCCTAGGCGACTTAAATAGGCTGTTTGTTTACTTTCGATGTAAACATTCATTTATTTTAAAATCTCTTTTATTAGCTTTTGATGATCTAATAATCTTGCAAGTTCAGTAGCTGTTCTTATCGGTTGACATTCTAAAATGAATTATCATCAACCTAACACTATTGCAGCACTGAAAACTCAGGATTGCTTGTGTATGAAGAATCGTTATTACCTCTGAAACAAAGCATTTTCATAATAAAAATTAGTCACTAAGGGAACCTTAAATTAGAGTATATTTTGAATACAATATTTCAATTTCGACAGAAATCTCTTGTAGGAATCTCTTCTTCAGAAGTTAAAAAAAAGAAAATTTCAAGATGGGAGGACTAACAGCACATATATGGGACAATGAATGGGACGAGGAAAGAGAAAATGACCATAGCGTTATTAGTCGAAAAACTATTAATGAAACATGAAAAAGGTAAGGCACTGGAGTTTTGTTTGCTTTTGAAAATGTTTGAAGGAAGAGAATTAGAATTAATTTAAATTTTGTCCTCCTACTCCCACTAATTTCCGTTCATATTTATATTATTATGTATTTTGTAACACGTAAATAACTTTAGTGAAATTTATGTAAAATTGTGGTATCCCTTGTATAATGCAATATATAATGCCTTAAGAAAGTTAATCTGTGACGGAAAATAAGATTATAGGGCCAAGTCTATTTAACACTGAGGTAAATGGCTATTTAGCTAAATTGGCGAGATACCATCAAGCTGGCGATGAGCTTGGCAACTAACTTTTGTCTCGAAATTTGGTAAGAAATTTGGAAAAGTCGCCAATTCGCTATTTGTCGGCATTTGGGTCTAGACCTTATATAATTGTAACTGGTACCTCAGTTGATCCCTATGTTTAACTGTAACCGTATCCGGCTCTTATGCATAACTTTAATGGTATATGCCTTCCAGTAATTTCGAGAAATGGTAGGTACTGGAGAATTTCCACCATCAGCAGGTGGAAAACTATAGAAGACAGGAGAGAGCATCAGTCTCAGTTTTTCAGTTCAGAGTAGACTTAGGAGTAATGAGAGATCTCCGTGAGAGCGTCATTTTAACGTGCGTTTTGCATTGCATTGAGTTTAACGTTCTTAGTAATTTGATAATTAGAGCTGGTAACTACTTATTGTGCTCTATTCCACTGACAAGGGCAGTATGAGCACTTATAAGGAAAGACTGTAAAGTGTTTTTTGGGTGGGGGGGGATAAATTCTATCACGCTATCATCGGTTTTATGTGCATTAAATCCATTGTGACTGTACGTACGATATATTTGCTGCTGTTAATTCCGCCTTTGAATTTGGTTTTCTTTTAAGAAATAAAACTGAGTTAAATCATCCTTGAAATCAATGCAATTTTATTCAAAAACTTCACCAATGTAGACTTCCTTTCTTTCTAATTTTAATTGTTTTCATTGACATACCTCACTTCTAATTATAAGGGACTCGTTTATTTGGCTTTGCTTATTTACTAAACACTTGAATTTATAAATTTATAAATTCTGTGTACACCTGAAGGAAAATTGTATAAAACATTTCAGTATGAATAGAATCAATTCATTCTTCCCAAGCGACCACCTAGCGTAAGTAGATTTTTTTGTTGCTTAACCAGGAAGCAAAACTTTTGACCTCCAGGTTAATAAGTATAGGTATGATGTCATGATTTAAATTTAATGTAACATAACAACCTTTTCTCAATATCATTAAAATAATTACTGTAGCAAAAACATATTATGTCAATTATCCCAACACGAAGCATAAAAGTTTCCAACAGCAGCTATTTAATTAAAATGCTGCAACGTCAGAATATGACCTTATATAAAATAATGTTTGGTAATGCTATTTTTATTTCATAATTTTTAAAATTTGCAAAGTTTTTATTTATAAATTCTGCGATTTGAAGGTGAGAAATGTCAACACTTGCCGAAAAAAAGATTTTTTATCTCCAGCTCCACGAGACGTTGCCACTCGGAAAAATAAATGCGAAAATTATTGTTTTCAGAGTTTTTAATTAATATCTAGGCTGAGTAAAGTCGTACGAAGATGAGAATGTTCGAAATGGCTTCCCACGAAGTTTTGGAATCCGGAAGTACCTCTCTCGAAACTCAGCTCTCCGCCGTTCCGGAGGATATGTGTCACACCCGAACGAACAAACAGACGCATACAGATTTTAACAGTATAGATAAATAATTTATACAAAATTATTTTGATTTAATTCAGAGTAAACTACACTAATAATTTCGACTAATTTGTTTTCCCAAGTTATTACACACTGAGGTAAAAACTTTTCCTAATTCTTTGTTTGAGTATATGTGTCAGATGTTAATGAGATTTTGATATAAGCAAGAATAGCAACAAGAATATCACAACATTTATTAAAGGCTCAAAGTGAGAAGTAGATACTCCCTTGTGGCAAATTCATTACGGGAAATAAGTAAAGCGAGTTTCGAATGATTTTTAATTAGCGTTTGATGTAAAATTCACGTACCTTGCATAGATCAATAATGCACAG